AAAGACTAAATATGAATTGTAAGGAGACTAATTGACGGCAAGAGAAACAGTCCAAGATGCGAATTCCGAATTAGAGATGCCAAAGTACAAAAATTTAAATATCTTGGAACAGAGGACGAAAAATACGACACTGAAATCCGAAGGCGCATTGAGATAGCGAAAGATGCCTTCTAAAAGCTAAACAAAGAATTAAGAAACAGAAAAAACTATTAGAAACAAAGAAAAGTGCTGAACACTTATATAATATCAACCTTCCGATATAGCAGCGAATGCTGGACAATCTCCTCGCAGATAAAGAAGATACTGGAGGAAACAGAAATGTGGTTCTACAGAAGGATACTGGGAACACCATAGACTGGACATGTGATTAACGAGAGGTTTAAGGGAAAATAGAAAAACAAAGGACGCTTATATTTAGAATCAAAAAGAAACTGTTGAGATTTCTAGGAGATACAATGGGGAAAGTGGGCTTAGAGATTTTGAGACTCACAGGGCATATTGAAGGCAAAAGGAACACAAGCGAGTAACTTATGTAAGAAACTTGTGTAAATGGATGGCAAAAAAGAAATGAGAAGGCTACAAAGGATAGGAAGTTGTGTTTTTTTTTCTCCATAGATGATTATGGTTGTTATATATACTGTCTATCGCTGTTGACTGCCAGTAGTGTAGCATCCTGAGTCATTCTTGGGGGAATAAGTGCCCATGAGACCAGAGACTGGACCATCGCCGGCTGCCTAATGATGTCTAACCTGTCTGGAAACGTAGTCGCGTCTGATGAAGATGACACCTTCATATCGAAAATAATATTTTAGTTTTGCAATTATAGAGCACTGATTGGTGTATCCATTATGGATTTTTTTTCTCAATATTATAACATAGAATAATAACATAATTATAAATATTATAATAATATAACATAATTATAACATAATGAATAATTTTTCACGTTCTAATGAACGCTCAGCACATTGTCAACCGTTTTGCATTTAAAAGCATAACGAAAAAATTATGGTAATGGATAACAGCGCACATATTTATATAAATACTTATACTAATGAACAACACATAGTTTTGTACCACTTGCACTCCTGAAGATCATCTTGGGAAAAATCAAAAGTACTTGGGAAATGAAAATAAAAGAAATTTAAACAGCTATAGCATATTTCTCTCATCCTTTAACATCAATACACGAAAGGTTATTCGTGAGTATGAACGGATTTTATTAAAAATTAGCAGACATAATGTCTGTAATTTACTCAATCAGACATGTCTAAAAGAGAGAATATATATATATATATATATATATTTAAAAAAAAAACATTATTATAGTGGATACACCGTATTTGAAGCAGAGAACATTTTTTATTAACAGTGTGCATTACGTCTTTAGGCCTGCGTATTTTAGAAAACTGAGCAAAGAAAATGCGTTCTCTAGCAGGGATCGAACCTGCGTCATTCTTTGTCGGGAAAATCACCGTTTGATTCAGTGACCTTTATCGCTCGGCCATGGAGAACATCGTAGCAAAAATGTTCTATTTTATCCTTTTCGTTTGATGTTTACCCACTGACAGATTCCTATACAATATATAGGCAAATTGAAGGTTTGACATATATTCTAAAGAAATACTCAGAATGTTGATAGCTTTCTGATATTAACGTGTCTGGCGCGAAGCCACACAATCTGACACTTTTGTTTTTAATGTTCGTGACACCGTAAGAAATACTTAGCATCTGTAACCAGGTCTTATGCAACCTAAAAACGAACGACAAAGTTAAACGAATCTTTGACTAAAGCGTGCCTAAAGTTGTTATTTAAAGTTACTTATTGTGTACGTCTTTTTTCCCGCGTAAGGTTGACAGAAAATATAGGTTCTTTTAAAGAATGTCAAATTTAAAATCTGTAACTCAAATAGTAAAAACCGACAGAAGACCGAGACGCACAAATAAAAAAAAAGAAAAGGAATAAAGGATACTACATTTTCTCAATCATATCTCTGCGTACATAGATTTAGCCATTTTGTGTTTTTCATTTTCTTTGCGTATATGCAAGTGTGGGTGTATGCCTGCATGTCTTTACGGATTAGAATAGATGCAAGCATTCAACCAAACAGAGCAAAATACTGTTATTATGAATAAGAGGTCGTTCTGCACAACAAAAATGTCGGGATGAGTTGTGGTGGGTCGCCTCAGTCGAAAAAAAAGTGTACGTCTTATAGGCTGGGCAATAAAATCAATTTATGTAAGAAACTTAAACGTTCGATTAAAAATAGATAATCAAAAAAAAAAAAAGCTTCAGAACGTAAATAAGATGTCCAGTTATTTGTTCGCGTCCTTTCGGGAGATGAATTAAAATTGACAAACAACGTCTGTCGTAGTGTATGATTTTTATCTGAAGACTACGCATGCGCGCTTATATCCATGCGTGGATCCGTTTATGTGAACGCATTTGTATGAGTGTACACGTGTATGAACGTATGAGCATGGGGTGGGGGTGGGTTAAGGAGTGTTCACATGAGTGTATATAGGAGTCATGTCAAAATGCGGCCTGTTTGGCTTTTAGAATAACACGCCTAATTTCATGAGGTATATAACATTTCTTAAACTTAATTCATTTCGTTTCGTTTTCATTTGTTCACTCACACACCCTCATACTTAACTAGAAATATAAGCAATGATTAAGTGCAATTTTTCTTGAATTTTTAAAATTTCGTTGAAGGTAACGCTTTCAGCATTTTAAACCATTGTCTATTTTCACTAAGGAAGATGTGTGTGTACAGGATACATAAAAATCTTTTGTTTGTCTATATCTCTGAGATGAGGTATTATGATTATTTACATTATTCGGAATGTTGTCCTCATCTTCATTGCCATATTCACAACGTTTCAGCCGTTGTACGCTCCGGCCTTCTTCAGGTGATTGGAATTTCGAACCGAAATATTTATCTCATCCACTGGGGTAGATTGCTCTAGTTCCACGTGTCATGCCTCTTCCGTATGTCTCAGTTATTTCCCTTTTAACTTAACTCTACACGTTTTTTTTTTTTTCGTTCACCACTGCTTTTGCCCGGGATTGAAATCACGGACACATGGCCCAGTGAATAAAGATGTTGGTTAGATCCAGTGACTAGACCCAAAGAATTGTGTGGGGGTATTTGAAAGGGTTCGCCAGTCAACGATCCTACGGGTGCATATGGGGGGGGGACACTTGCTACGAGTTGCTGTGTTGAGGTACAACGATGGCCTTTTGGGCATTTTGCCTTGTTTTGGTGTCGGGAACCCACCCCCAAAGTTTGTAAAAGTATTTTTGATACACCCTCTATACAGGGTGCGATGGATAAATTGTCGTTTAAATTACGCAAAAATCGAACCTGCATCCTACACGTATGTATGTATTAATAAAAGAATTACACTGACAATAAAAGAAGAAAATATTTAAAGACTAATTGCATAGAAAACATTTAAGTTAGAAAAATGTGTGTTAATGGAATGTGTGTTTGCGGAATGAAATAGACAATGCAGTAAAATTTTGCACAAGACTATCAAGGAAACAGAGTTCACCGGTTTTGGGTGGGGGGGGACTGAGGTTACTCCCGACCACCGAATGCGGTTATACGTAACCTCATACCGGTATCTGGTATTGTAAACGCGGTGATGATATTGTTAGAAAGATGGATATATATATAAACAATCGTCCCATGTATGGTGATTTTTCTAAGCGTAGCTTACATGTGACACAAGGACAAAAGAATGGGGCACCCAATAAGGATCGAACTCGCTATTCAGTCCTAACTGTTCTAGCGAGCCAGGCTTTCTAACCATTACACCGAGGTGCCTCAATCGTTCCAGGTAGGAGTGGTTCGCTTGACACGTATTACAGCCGATAAGGCAAGATATTTTAGCCCCCACTAAGACGAGTTGTGACACAAAGTCTTTTTTGAGTTGGAGACCCGAGCGCGTACAAAAATTCCTCGCAGCCCAAGCAACCATCGCTTTCGCCGGCCTCGGTGCGAGGACCGATCCCTCTCTCTAGTGCAATGAGAGGGCGCGGCCTCGGGTAGCTGTTCCCCAGGGCTGGTAACCTCTCAGTATAATTTTCCTCAGTTGACGCAGCCGCCCCTGAGTACACTCTGCCCAAAGACAGAGACACAACTGAGAGATTATAAATACATGTGTTACAAACTACTCGAGAGATTAATGTCCACGCTATTTAGAATGATAACTAAATAGATTCGAGTTTGTTGATACTTAAAAAGTTTAATATAATGTAGAGATGAGAAATTAGAATTAGTTATACATTCAACATTTAAAGAGTTAGAGAAACATAATAGCTAATTTAGTAAAAACTATATTACGGAATCTATATGAATAAATGCGAAATTGGGCTCAATTCTCCCACGAATTCTGAGATTAAATATATCCAGGTCTAATTTATACTAAATTACACACAAGGTATTTGCTCTGTCTCACCACTAAGACGATTTGTGACACAAGTTCTTTTTTTTTTTTTAAGGTGGGCAGCCGTTGAACACAGGGACGGCTTTTGGTTGAGAGCTCTACGGGAGCCGCTAAACACCTACACTAGCCGAGTGTAAATGACGATAGATTGGAATTAGTAAAATGTTATGAAATGAAGATTCAAATCTAGTGTTATCACTTTGTCGTCACATCCACTTCATTAAGATACCTTCTTCATTCTGAAAGTATAGCACAGCACAATATCTCTAACCGACATCTTTTTCCCCGTATAAACAAGTAAACTGAACTAAATATGACTATTCGTTACTCTTCTTTATATATGCAATTATTTTTATCTAGCTCCACAGAGATATGACGTTCTCCGCTCTCAAACAGATGCATCCTATTAATAAACATACTGCTCTATACCACCTCCTTGCTCAATGTTTTAACAGCGCCCACTTGGGCTAAATCGCACCGAAAAAGATGAAGTCATGTGAAGGAATGACTGACAATTAACCAACCGTTTTTTCTCTTATGCATACATGTACGCATGCGCAAAGGGAATACACGCTGCACCTGCAACGACTGGACATTTGCCAGCAAAAAGAAACCAATATGTCGGATTGTCTTTTTTCTGCTTCGTTGCTCGCTTGATGGATAAACTATGGCAGTCAATTCTTTCACAAACACTGGCTTTTTCTCTCTTTCTTTTCTTTTCTTTAAGACTTTTATTGCTTGCTGATTCTTTGTTAGTACTGAGTGCCCTTAAGCATAACCCACATTATAACTCCAGTATTTATATTCTTACTCTCTCTCCACACACACACATACATACATACATATATATATATATATATATATATATATATATATATATATATATATACAGAATACAGAATACAGTATGATCGGCATACAGGAGTGAAGAGTATGAAAAAGACATATATATATATATATATATATATATATATATATATATATATATATATATATATATATAACTTTTTCATACTCTTCTTTATAGATAGATAGATAGATAGATAGATAGATAGATGTCGTTTTCATACTCTTCACTTCTGTATGCCGATCATACTGTATTCTGGTTCTTCCTTCACTTTGAGTGCGTGCATCTCTCTCTCTCTCTCTCTCTCTCTCTATCTATCTATCTATCTATCTATCTATCAATCTCTATCTCTCGCTCCCTCTTTCTGTCTATGTGTGCATGTGTGTTTGTTCATATCTATCATTGTCAGTCGAATTAGTATTTGTCCATCTGTCTACCTATGTTTATATCTATCCTTCTATCCTTATATCCTGCACACACTGACACAAAAACACACACGCAGGCATAAATCCGCACATACAAGCATTTTATCTTCAGGATCTTTTTGCTTGATTTTATCAAGAGTAGAACGAGAAAGGCTTAAGGAAAATATGAACGCCAAAGGAACGTATACTTACAACCAGAAAGAGAAAGTTGAAAATTTGGGGACACATAATAAGGAAAAAGCCTTGAGAATTTTACATATTGAAAGAAAGAGCAGGGAAAACAGCTAGTAAAATATTTTTTTTATGGATGGCAAAGAAGGGTCAAAAGTTACTTAGAGTAATAATAAAACAAAAATCTACGGAGAACCATGATTATCCACGTCCTGAAGAGACTTGGCGTATAAATGATCAACAGATATCTTGATAAATATAAAAAGACATAGATAGATAGATAGATAGATAGATAGATAGATAGACAACGAAGAAACTAGGATAGATAGATAGATAGATAGACAACGAAGAAACTAGGATAGATAGATAGATAGATAGATGACTGTGACTCGATTTCAAGTAATGCCTTATCTTTGGTGGGGGAAAGGTTTAGCCCTGCTAGGTACCACAGTCGCCTGCGTAGATGCTGGAACGGTTGGTGTTTTTTGCAGTAGATCTTTTGGTGAAACTTCATATGACGTTTTAGGCCACAAATTGAGGCACATTATTTTCAAAATTCTGTGCATGTAAAAATGTCGTTGTGGGCAATGGCTTCATTGATACATAATTGCATACATATTAAATACATACACATATGTATACATGCATGCATACACGCGAACTGACTGTGATAGATAGATAGATAGATAGATAGATAGATAGATAGATAGATAGATAGATAGATAGATGTTTTGGAAATCGCCTTTTGTTTCTTGAAGCATCACATTTTTTTTCTAGACAATCTATGTTTTATTTTTCCGTTCCACTTCTTCCTGTCATTTTTATCCTTTTTAATATCGATTATCCACAACTTTCCAATCGATCTATCTCTGTATTCGTTTGTAGATTTGCATCTGTCCATCACGCTTTGAAGAAGAGCCCGTCTTTCTTAATACACAATATTTGTACGTCTTTTTTTTTCCTTTGTTCATTTTCAATTACAAAAACAAGTTTTTTTTCCTTATGCCTCCACTCCCTACTCAAGCCCATATTTACTAGTACATACCTACGTAAGCCTTTGTTAGAAGTACAGTAATATTTCACCTTCAAAAAAAAACAATTATTATCGGATAATGATTATTAATGAATTCCTTTATTGATCGAATAATAATTAGTGTCATTATTCGTGTATAATACGCACTCGATTAAAATAGCCACACCTAAACTTGGGCTATGAATTTCTAACAAAAAAATCATCTTTTGTGTAAAATACTGGTGTTTTAGAATTTATAAGGGCAAATGACGAAGGAAGGGAGTTTAGAGTATATAACACACACAGAATATACTAAAGGCAAGATGGACAGATGAAAGCAGAGAATAACCTACCTAATTGGCTTGTGTAAATTTTTTTGCAGAACAGGGATTGGTAGTTGGGCGTAGAGCAAAAAGACAAACCTTGTTCAAAGCTATAAAAATCAGGAAGTTGTGAAGAGCCAAGATCGCCCACATCCTGATGGAACACGGCAGATAGAAGTAGAGGCAGATAAATTTAATGCACATTTAATTCTTCAACTTTTTTATCCGCCTCATATCAACAATGAAAAAGAATTTATGCAGTTTCCATTCTGTTTTGAAACATCAAAATTAAAATAAAAACATGGACACATTGTCAGAAAAAAAAGCAAGAAATCTGCGATTAAAATAAGCTAAGACAAGGAAAAGTAAAATTATAAACAAACACATTCTAGTGGCTAAACTGCGTAAAACAGAAGTGAACATTACTACAACTTCATTTTTTTTTAAATATGGAAACATTATAAATTGAACATATCTTATAAATAAGATAATCCACTGAATATTATCAGTTCGGATGACTTAAAAGAATGGACAAATGAAGGCGCTAATGAATTACAAAAATATCAACGGTAGAATCATTTCAAAAAGATTATTAAGAAAGAAAAGGAAGACGCAAATTCTTCTGATAATGGTGAAATAATGAAGGATAATGAAGAAGTCTTGGATTTAGTAGAGAAAGTAAGAGTTTAAATCACTAGCAAATAAGGGGTTTATTTTTTAAAAGCATACCTACAAAGATACTAAGCTTTTAATAGTTTATTTTTAAGTTTTAAACTTCTCGTTTGCTATCCGTGTCAAAGGTCGTGTTCATGACAGATATGGATTCTGAGGTCATCCAATTCAGGAAGAAAAAAAATCTTTGTTCATTAGTACAGAATGTCCAAGTGCAGGTAATCTGACGAAATGTCTTACTTTAAAAACAAACCAGAACAGCGAAAAGGAAGCGAAATGAGAAAAGAAACAAGAAAAACATTTGAAAATAAAAATTATTGAGCATTAAACATTGCAAAGTAATATTTACTTTCGTGAAACACTTTCATATATTGCGATAAGTTTTTGTGTTTTGTTAAATTATAGTTATATTATACATTATAACCGAACGCTTCTCATATCTGAACTTCAGATATGAGGACTTCTACTGTACATAAATCAAGAGGGTTTCGTTTACCGGACTTAAATGACTTTTCAAGGAATCTTTTGCTGAACTATAACATCTTATAAATAACAGATCGTGAAACATCATTAATTGAACGTACGCTTAACATTTATTCAACTCTTTATTCGGTTCATATCAACAATGAATAAAAATTTATTCAGTTTTCATTCTGTTTTGAAACATCAAATTTACACATTATCGAGAGCAAAGGCGCGGACATGTTCACACAAAAAGGATCAAAATAAACCCGCACAAAGAGAAGTAAAATTATTAACAAATACATCCTTTCCAACTGTTTTTATTCAGACTATTGTTCTAATCTTTGTTGTTGATATCACCTCAGGTGTATCTCGATTTAAGTAACATACGGGACAATAGCCTAGTGGTTTAAAGCGTTGGTTCGTGAATTTTGTCACATAGAGGTTTTGAGTTCAAGCCTTGGATCAGGCAGTGTGTATTTGGATTCAATGACAATGTGTGAGCAGTAACTGATCAGTGCTATAAATAAGAATTAGATGATATCCCTAAACAGTGGAACGAGAACTGTCTACTTCCGTAGATTAAATAAAGAGTTCAGCTCAAAATTCCCTGTACCTGAAGAAGGCCGGAGGATACGATGGTTGAAACGTTATGATAACACCAACAAAATGAAGATAATAGTCCTAATATAAATATTTTATAATGAAAATATTATTTTATTACAATAAATTAAGAATTTTATGGCAATATTTAATAATTAAATAATATCCTATTAAAGTCGTATTTGAATTCATTTATTAGTAATATTCTCATAACTGTCTCTTAGTGGTGACACATTACTTATTTAATTCGCTATTTTTTAAAATTAAATGGATTTTATGAAGATTTACGATGAGGTCATTAGTTCGAATATAAAAAATGGTAACTCCTCCTAGAAATTCTGACAGAAAACACATTCTAGTGGGTAAGCGTCATAAAACAGATGTGGATATTAGCACGACTTTGTTTTTAAGGAAGAAGGACAAGATGACCCTGTAGCCGATGACTGCATATCATAGATGAAACTGTCATGAACACGACCTTTGACACGGATAGCAAACGAGAAGTTTAAAACTTAAAAATAAACTATTAAAAGCTTAGTATCTTTGTACGTATGCATTTAAAAAATAAACCCAGTATTTGCTAGTGATTTAAACTCTTTGTAATAGAGAAGTTAGTTAGACCAATAGCTATAACTTACTTTCAGAAACAAAATGGTAATGGTAATAGTAACTGTTTCCAAGGAGAAAACATTCAGCATTCATTGCCCGAACAGTTTGGTTAAAATTTATTTAAAAAAAAACAAAAACGAAATTTTTTTCAAAGAGTTTTTCAGGAAGTTAGATTTCCCAAGTCCAGTAACTGCTATAGCTCTTTCTAGTAATAATGATAGTTTCCTTGATTTTTAATCGTTGCTTTTAGTAGAGTCACTCAGTCAGTTATGTACCATACGTGATACATGACTGACGAGGCAGATTTTTTTCCCGCAGTAAGTTGCCATTTCTTTCTGCGATAGACCAGTTGCCATCTAAGTTATAGAATTCAGTGTGTCCTGCTGTTTACCTATAACTGGGCTGGGGAGAAGAAGAGGATTCATACCTTTCCCAGGGGAATTAGAACGTAAGGGAATGTAATGGATTACGACTGGAATTCGAACTCGGCTCTACGATTCCTCACTCCGAGCCGCTATCCTTTACTCCATCGTGGTAGAGTAGAAAGTTAAAATCGTGATTATGTCATTATTTCCTCTAGTTGTATTTGCTCTGAATTTTTGTTGTTACTGTTGAACGTGTTGAAATGATATGGTTCTTATTTGGTAAAGTTATGCGTTTATGTTTTGTTTTTGTTCTTTTTTTTATTGTTTTTATTGAAAAAATGTTAATATTTAGTTCTCGTCTATAATACACCCGGCTAAATCTTAGGCCTAACATTATGGGAAAAAGTGCGTATTATACACGATTAATAACTGCATGTATTAACCGCGATTCAGACACAATCCATGGATAAGAGAATAAAACAAGGATTTTGAAACAATTTTTCGTTGAAATAATTTTATCAATCTTTTCTAGTAATCTTTAATAAAGCCTTTTAGTATAAAAGTGCGATAAAATTGCAGATTAAGACCCGAAAACCAATTGTAATGAAGATTTTCATTCTGGTGTAAATTTGCGTGTTTATTTCGAAAATAACAATAAAAGTTTGCGGAAGAAAACCGTTTAGGCGTTATCGACAAAATAAATTCGGCCTTTTTCGCCCTGCCGCCATTACTGGCTTTATTTACATACGTTTGCTTCGTATATTCATGCGCAGAAGCTACACTTGTCTTAATTACTGCGCATTAAATGCGCGCAGTAATCAAGACGAGTAAAAAGATAAGA